AATTTGAGATATATAATATTAATTTTTTTCGCAGAAACATTAAGACACGTGTGTCTGAAATTTCAGACTAATGTTTATATGTAGTTAAGTCATGTATTGATGATTAAACTGCAAACTTGAAATTAATTAAAGTGATGTTTAATGAGTTAGTCAGGTTTGTTGGTTTTATAATAAATTGATGACTGGGATTAGTGCTTTTTTAGTGATATATAAAACTTATATTTCAACTAAGTGCTTGATTAAATTATAGTTTACAAATTTATGAATTATTGAAAATACATCTATACTATCCATCTCTCAATTCGTGCAACACATCAAATTTAATTATAATTATTGAGAACTGGTTATGGATATATGGGAGTGATTTATCCTCTTTCCTTGTTCCATAGCTCCTAATGATCTTTAACTAACTAAATAAAAGTTCTTTAAATTTTGCTGCTTTTAGGCCCACTTATTCATTAATCTTTCTAATATATATTGTGCTTCTAAAGTTACAATCATCATTAAAACCCTGCATCCCTTTTTCTTTAAACAAACCTAATTCTGCTAAAATTAAATGAAAAAAACAATCAATCAAAACGTTTCAGCCGTGAGGTACAAAGTCTAATAAATTTAGGATAAAATTTGGTTGGAGGTATTATGCTGTCCTTGAATCAGTTATCTTACAATTTTTGTTATAGTGATAAGATAAATTTTCTCATATATTTGGTGAAATAACTTATACCCAGTATAACTTATTTCAAGATTAATCACATGGAGCAACTAGTTTCCAACCAACGACTCCTACTGCTTTAATTGTTTGGATGAATGTTACATATTGTTTCATAATATATCTATAATTTGAATGATACATCAACAGAAATTACCGTAAAAAGGTAAGATAAAAAATGAAATATGATTGTTAAATAATAAATAAAAAGAAAAAAAAAGGCAACATCATAATCACGCGATACGATATCATCAACTTTAAATAATAATTAACATAAATATTTATATTTAAACTAGCAATACAATACAATAGCTACCATCCATACAAAAAATTGTAAGTGAAAAACTCTCACAAAGACAATGTAGATAAAGTTGCAATTGGCTCTCTAACCTTGGCGTTTACATAGTCATTAATCATTACTATCAATTTTTTGATATAATAATAAAATTGGACCTTAAAAATATGACACGTTCCGTTTGTTAAGAATTACTCGAAATTCCCTATGCAGTGATAGGCAGTACAAGTAGTATTTATTTTCTTGGTGATTTTCAAAATACTTTGGCACGTTATCTTTCAAGAGGGTTAATGAAATACATTGATTTAGGTGTACTAAAGGAAAGGTACTATAATTTTCATTAAATTAAGATTAATAAATTCAAGAAAGCTCAATGATTAGTAGGACCAGTGTAGCTGTGATTTGCCGCCTCAACTCTTTTGCCAGTATTACACGTGTAAAAATTGTTTGCACAAATGCCTATTTCTTAGGCTGGTTAATCCTCCAATTTATTCTCTAATTAACACACATAATTAGTGGTGACAAATGATCAAAAGTTAGGTGTTGAATTTCGACGCATCAAAATAGGTTTTGTCAATCAATTGATCATTATTTAATTTTCGCAAAAAGTTAGTTTGATAATGAACCAAATAAAGATAACAGTAAATTTAGTCGACGATCTATAAAAACGATCTAGATAAAAATAAAATTTGTGTATATTTTACATTAGACTCGTGGAATCATTGTAATTCTATAAAAAGTCTATCATTATGCAAATCAAAAATAAAAACATCATTCAATCAACTACAATATCTAAATGAGAGGTTGTTTGATTCCTTTCAACATATTTGCAAAATCATCATGCTTGTTTTGTCACTTCATATACCAAAAGTGAATGAAAAAGGCAACACAATTGAGAAAAAAGGGTCCAATGACAAAACAATGAATCCAAAAAGAAAAAAAGCAATCAATTACTACTTCTCCCCACTTAATACTCCCTCACTTGTATCTATGACCCCCACCCCAATTCATATGAGTAGCACTCACTATTATTTTGTGATGAGAAGTTCATGTGACCTTAATTTGTGAATCATCAAGTTCTATAAAATTCTACTCCACTCCTTATCATGCATGCATGATATAATATATATTATATATAATCTTTATTTAATTTAAATACTATTTTTGATCTTATACATGACCATATTATATTTAAACTATTTTTATAAGTATATATTCCGAGAGATAAGATAACAACAGTTGATAATTCTAATTCTAATATATTACAAGAAGTAAAATTAAAATCTAATGATAATTGAGTGCTCAAAACAACTATTAATACTATGGTTGTAGATTTGTAATATACTTTCTTTTTCTTTTCTTTTCTATTGTACCACCAAAATGGTGGCAATTTTTTCACACTATAATTAGTATTAAAGCCTTTTCCATATATACGAGGAGTTCACACCACCACATATGCTTTTCCCTGGGCTCCATTTTTCCTTTTGGCTTTGGTAGTTCATAAAAGTTTCGCTTGGTGTTTTTAACTTTGAACATATTTCCTAAGAAAAGTAAATTATACTTTTACTCATTTGCACTTTGATAAAGTTATGAAGTTTTCTATCCGTATTTTCTCCGGACATACTTTTATTTTTAGTCAGTTTAAAAAAATAATAATCCCTTAATTTTTTTGATAATATTTTAATAAAGGCCACAAAATTAAAAAACATTCAATAAAACTTCAGTATAAAATTACAAAATTCAAAAAAATAAATTATTTTCTTAAACTTCATATTAGGTCAAACTAGATTACTCTTTTTAAAATGAAAAGAGTGACTCTTTTTATTTTAATAAAGATAAAATTAAAAAACATCATTATATTTTTTTCATAACGTAAAATATCACTTATTTTAAAACAAAATGAAACGATAAGAAAACAACAACTTAGATATTATACCTATTAATAGTTTTCTTAATTGGCAGCCCCCTAGGAGCTTGGTTGGTCACGGGCAAATAATGTATGACAAATACGGGAATTAATGGTTACTCATAAAAATTAAATAACTGGGTCATTGTGCACCGCTGAGATTACCTTGTACAACAACACCAAGTACGACCCAAATTTTATATAGGACAAACTGAATTTATGAAATAATATTATATGAGTATAGTTTATACTATTATATTTTATGAGTATAGTTTAGTTTATTATCTGATTTTTAATTTGTATAAAATGTTTTTTTTTTAATTTATACTATAATTTACTTTTTCATTAAATAGAAATAATAACCCTAAATACAGTAACAAACATTTACATAATCCCATGATTTAAGCTAATCATTTAAATCAAATATTTTTTCAAAAAAAGAATTCTATAGCGACAGAAAAACTAAACAAACTTTTTTTCGGGAAACTAAACTCTTTAATGGATATAAAGTTTATATACGAATGTAATAAATTGAATATAAATTGTTTAATTTATACCAAATTGTAGAGTAATTATTATATACATATACAAGTAATTGTATATGTATAAATAAAAATATGAATATAGTACTTGTATAGACACAAATTCCTCAAGCAGTTTTGTATATAATAACGTAAAATACAAATAATTTGTCATTTAGAACAAATTATTACACAAATAATTGTACCAAATTTTTAAAAGTAATTACTTATATACATATATAATTAGTTGAATATATAAAAAATTGTATACGTAAATAAAAAAGTTTATATACTAATGTAAATAAAATGAATATAAAAATATACAAAAAATTGTATATGTATAAACAAAGTTTTATACGAATATAAATGAAATGAATATGACTTGTATGTATATAAACAAAAATAATATAGTACTTGTATATGCACAAATCCCTCAAACAGTTTTGTATATAATAACGTAAAATACAAATTTTTTGTGATTTAAAACAAATGATTGTATCAATTTTTAAAATAATTACTTATATACATATATATCTAGTTGAATATACAAAAAACTTAAAATATGAATATAACACATTTTCTTGATCAGTTTTATATATAATAATTCTACATACAAACAACTCCATAAACAATATTCAAGCAAGTAATTCTTACGGATGGAGATGAATCTTCCATTCTGATATTGAAGAATTTATAATTTGATAAGATTTTTTTTAAAAAAAATTATATATGAAAAACTAACAAGTATAATACGTATATAATTGCTGGTGAAAGATTTTATTTTTAAAAAAATAGATTTGTAGGTTGATTTTGCGATTACATGCAAAAATTGAGAGCAGGGCGAAATAGAGAACGTGAAATCTTCCTTGAAATTCAAAATAGAGTGGAGAGATAAAATTAATTTTGTATAAAATTATAAATAGAAAATCATAAATAAGTCTTTTACTGATATATAAATAGATGGTGAATTCCAATAATTATGGCAAAAAGATGAAAATATAATCACATAAAATAAATAAATTAAACTATATCCTTATTAATAAATTACTTAGTATAATTTGCCATCTCACGTAATTTTCCCTTCTTTATTTCAGCCTGCCTGCTTTATTAAATGAAATGAACAACAAAAAAACTAACCATTTTCCTTGTATCTACTTCTGCTTTATTAAATGAAATGAACAACAAAAACTAACTATTTTCCTCATATCTACCTTCTACTTTCATTTTCTGCACATCTCTCTATTTGAATTTTAGTCCAATTAAAATGAATAACATAAATTCAACTCTTAATTGACTGACTATATGAACTTTCATCTTGTTTCTCTGAATTTAATTCTCAATCTTGTATTCATTGAAAGGGCCAAGAAGGTTAAAATCAAATATAGAAACAAAATTAAGTAGTCAATCAGCAAGTTAGCTTGAACTAAGGGTCAATTTTGTTAATGTGTATTAATCTGAGGTCTGAATTAACAAGTTGAGAATATCCAATTTCAACAGTATGTGGTCAATTTATCAAACTTGAGAGAGTATAATGAAAATATCTTTCTCCGAGAGGACCAATATCGGAAAGTTCAATTTATATGCCTCGAGAAGCACAAAAAAATAACTAACTGATGAGTCCATCCCCTTCTGCCTAGTGGAATACTGGCTTCGCAATTTCCGTCGAAGCCATTACTGCCATAATAATATCTTCACTTCCATTATTCTCTCTGTTCGTTATTATCTTCTTCTTCTCTCCCGTCGATGGCATCTATATCACCCTCTGGAAGCTGTCTCCACCGCACACCCGCCGCATTCCACCGTCAGCTGCCTTGCTTGCTCTTATCTCTACCCGGCCACATACTTGCTGCTTCCACTAAATTTTACCTTCCTCTACGTCTTTCGGACTCTCGAGATACCTTTCGCCTTGCTTCAGCCAACACTTTGACGGCCAATTCTGTACCGGTTTGGTTCCTTATCCACTTTTACTCAGTTGATTGAGCTCTTAGTTAACTTCCTGTAGTTAATCAACTCTATTCTCTATTTGTGCTTATATTTTAGTAGTAATTTGGTATATATTTCACCAGCACATACAAATTGTTGTAGGATATTGAATTTCAGGAAGGATAAAGTGTACACATAAGTTATAAAATATTTTTGGTTGTGCTAACACGCAAATCTGCTATAAATGATGCACTATGAAGAGAAGAAACAGTATTTGGTTTCAGTTGAGCTATCTAAAAAGGATTAAGTACTGTGTGGTTTGTGAATTCTAAAGTGACCTGTTGTGATATGTTCAATAGTTACCAATTGATCTCTTCAGCTTAATACTTAGTACAACAGTGGACGTTTGTTGGATTACATTGAAAGCTCATCTGTTGAGAGTAGGGACTATCACATACTTTCCTTTTGTGTATTGAAATTTTTTGAGATTTTATATGCCTATATTAAGATAGGTGATGTGTTAATAAAAACTGACAAATGAACCTGAATTCTGTTGATCATTAGTATTTTGGAGTAATAAACTTCAATTCCACCTGGGGAGAGCTACATATTTACCTTCGGCATAGGTGGAACAGAATTCTTATTCTAATATATCAAGTCTTCCATAATTTTTAACAGGCACTCATGCTTTTTAAAAAATAAAGTGACAGAAAAGGCAAGTAAATTGTATCGTAGTACTTCTTTTGTCTAAAATTACAACCACCCTTCTTTTCCCTGTTGATTGCATCTCACTAAATGCAAAAAGTTTTTGCTACACAACTGGATGTGGATGTTTCATAGATAAATGAGGACATGTAACTTTGTTGCTGTTGCGTTCACTGATAGGTATTTAGAAAATAAAATTAGATATTTACAGAAGACGTTAGAAATCACAGTTCTAATTCAATATGACATATTACATTTTAAATGTCTTTTGGAGAGATCTCCTTTTATTTGACACTTGGGAGATGACCTGGATTAAAATTTTGGGACAAAGCATGCTCCTAATGTGAATAATCTAGCTCACAAGTTGTTGTTCGATTTGATCCATCTCTTTTTGAATCCCTTTGTTCAAAATTGGGAACTGTAAATGCATTTTTTTCACTTGCATTATGAAGTTCCTTTTCCCAAAATGTCCACCAAATCATAAGGTTTTCTACTTGTGGCAGCCCAGAAATGGTGTGTATACGGTTGGTGATTTCATGACCAGGAAAGAGGAGTTACATGTGGTAAAGCCCACAACATCCGTAGATGAAGGTAATTTTGTACTCAAGTTTCATCTAATTTATCTACATGAAGTTAATTTCTGATTAACGATTGTATCTGCAACAGCATTGGAAGCTCTAGTGGAACACAGGATCACTGGTTTCCCTGTGATTGATGATAACTGGAAACTAGTAAGTTCTGATTTGCAATGTAAGCAGCTAAAGTCATTGTAGGTCCTGCTTTATTGATTATAAGTACCCTTTATCAAATGACTCAGTTTCCTGCTTATGTAGCTCTTCCGAGCATGTGTGAAACTACATACCTAAAGGTAATTAATTATTGAAGTTGAATTAGTATCGTCATAGCTGAGCATTAGGAATCCTTAACATCTTTGGTGTCTACTTGTGCAAACTGAAGTTTGTTTAACTCAGAAGATAATTTCTGCACATCAAGCCATATAGATTACTATGAGACTGTCCATAACATTTGTTTATTAGACAGGTAAGCTGGTTATTTACAGTGATGGGGTACTTCCATAAATGCCAAAAGTAGATCATCTTGTAACTGCTTTGGAACTTTTAGAGTAGTAGTTGGCAAGCATGTGATTGGACATAACCATTAGGATAGAGTTTAATTTGCATCATATTCTAATCAATAAGCTCTTACTTAAATGACAAGCAAACTAGAGAGCAATTCACGTGCTTCAGTTTTCACACTTTGGGTACGTGCTTTTCTTGATATGTTAGACAAATATTTTAAGCCATAATTTGTATATCTGTTATAGCAGCCCTCCAATTAATTAGCACACTCAAAGCTTTACTTAGGAGATGTTCTAATCTTCTGATTTTGTGCACAATCTCATGTTCTTTATCTGGTTTATATTTATGAAAAATCATGCTTCGAACCTCTTCTTCTTATAACACTAAGCAATGTCAAAGAAGGTAAGTAAAGACTAATGATAATATATCTTTTTGGCAACAGAATTGTTTAATTCTTTTATTTCCCCTTATCACTTCAACTCAATTGATGGCTGATAAATAGGAATCTGTTTTTTCAACATTGGTAATATTTTTTTTGTCTCATTAAAACATCAAAACTCAGAACCACTTTCTTGTTCAGGTTGGTCTTGTTTCTGACTATGATCTATTAGCGCTCGACTCTGTATCAGGTAAATTTTCTTCATGGTGATGCTACGATTACTTAATGTGTAGACACAATAAATTCTATTGGTCTTTGGCCAATATCCTTTTTCTGGTCTGTTCCTGTTGAAACCTTGAACGAGTTTGGCATGTAACTGCTTTTTTTACTTTGGACTGCCAAATTGATAAATGGGATACAATCCACTACATTTGCCTATAGGCTGTAGAAGATATTCAGATTTTTAAGGTTTCGGGATCAAAAATCTTCAAAATTTATTTGCCTTCATACTACAGGAAAGCGTATGTTTGAGATGAGTGTGGTGCATCTCTCTTTCTCCTTTTTTCCCTTGGTGAACATGTAATGATAACATGTCTCTCTAGTTAGATCATACCTATCTTTGTAAAATTTGTTATTACTTCACTGTGTTAGTAATTTGTGACTTTGAATTTAGAATGTCCATCAAAGAGGAACAAATTCCACATCATATTTGCAGTTGCTTTTTAGGTTTGACTCGCTTGGTAATTAATAGAAAGAATGTTTAAAATGCTGTTATCATTTTAGCCTTTCTTTCTGTTTAGACTTTAAAATAAGTTATGATTTTCCTAATTCCTTATTGTGCCTTGGACCTTTTTATCAATAGCCAAAGTTGTTATTGTGCCGTTCTTTCCATATGTTAAGCTATGTTATGGCTATAAAATGCAAAATAAATTAAGATTTCCCTAATCCCTTACTGTGCTTCTCTGTTTGGGACCGTTTCAAAACTATAACAGAAGTCAATTAAAAACCTCTCCGAGGCTTATGTTCTCTCTTTATATGCAGTAGATACCATTATCTACTCCTACAAGTTTATTTGGATTAAGAATATGTAGTTTGTTTTACCTTTTGTGAGGGTGTTGATTCCCACCCAAATCCCCCTCCCATCTCCTCTGCTCCCTTTTCTTTTATGTTCAGCTTATATTTCATTTATCCTGCATTTCATTTTTCACTTTATCATTCTTGCGTTGAGCAATCTTTCCAAAGGCATGATTCCCTCTCCTGGTGTGCTGTGCACTATTTGCTCTGTCATGGAAAGAATTCATGTCAGTACTACACCCACATGGACTCTTTATCTCAGACAAAGCTCGAAGAAAAGAAGGATTACTTGTCTTTTGTAAATTTACTTCCTCGGATTTTGGTCATGTGAAAGTAGAATTGCCTGAAAAATTCATTCTTGCAGCCTAGTTGTTTTATTTTTTTATATAAAAGTGGGGAACTAGTTTATTTATGCAAGGTAAGTAATTGGTATCTATGGTCATCAACGACTTGATGCCATGGCTGTAGAGCATAAAGGGATAGAAACAGTTAAAAAATACAGTCACCTAAATTATTGAGTCTGGTTTGATTACTCAAGATTGAATTGCTTATCCCATTAATTGAGTAATGATCTAAATTAGAATTATCAGATCAGAGATGCAAATTGAGCTGCTAAGAAGCTGGTGTTCTTGAATCTTGTCAGATTTGAGTGGAACTTTTCTTTTTCTTTCCTTTTTCATTTTGTTTCGTGGTGAATTTGATAGTCCTCCACTGTCTCCATATTCCCCTTTCTATTTCATTTAAACTGATTTAGTAAAATCCTGACGTGTCACTTGTTCAAATACTTCTCTTAGGTACAGGAACAGCTGATGCAGGCATATTTCCTGAAGTAGACAGCAACTGGAAAGTAAGAAAAATTTAATTCCTTTGTTTACTCTTTATTTTATGTTTTTGTAGAAATAGTTTACACTGACATCTATAAATATTTTTCTTTTCAACATGAAATCCAAAATTTTACAAAATTCTGATAATTTTTCTGAAGTACAAAAGTATCTTGATTTCTATATAGAGGACTACTGAATTTATCTCCGTGGTGGAAGGTTGATATTCACTTGAGAACTGTTGATGCCCCTCCCCACCCCCCAAAAAATAAAAAAATTGTATTGGGTATTCCACCGTAGCACAGATTATAGTGACTAACTTGGTGAAGACTTATTGCAAAAGCTACTTAAAGCCAGACTTTAGTTAATCGACTCGGGGAAAGGGGATTCTAAGAGAGTTCTTGATCATCAACTTCAGAAGTTGGTCATTTCACTAAAAACTTTGCCTCACAGGAGTGCCTTACTTCTTCAAGTATTCCTATTCCAACCTCGAGATACTTGGAAAAATCTTAATAAATGGGGTGGTTGGCTGGGAACGCTCGTCATTTTTTTGATATGAGGAAGAACAGTGAAAATTCACTTGATTATGCATCATTTTAACAGTATCACATCGCACCTCAAAGCTAATCAAGATGTGGGGCATTCTGAACAATAATGCAGACATTCAATGAGGTTCAAAAGTTGCTTGGCAAGACCAAAGGGAAAGTGGTTGGTGATCTGATGACACCTGCTCCTTTAGTAGTTCGTGAATCTACCAATCTTGAAGATGCAGCAAGGTGCTGTCATTTTTTAATTGTTATTTTACTTGAGCCCAAGTAATGCCTTTCTTGCTTTTTATTGAATGAGTCCGCCAACACTTTCTCATGCACTTCTTTCTTTCACTGTCAGACTTCTACTCAAAACAAAATATCGTCGGCTTCCTGTGGTAGATGGTAAGGGTAAGCTGGTAAGTTCATAAAGTTTTGTTTGTGTACAGCTTCTTTGCCAATATATCATTTTCTAATCGATCAGCCATTGTTTAATGAAGGTGGGAATAATAACAAGAGGAAACGTTGTAAGGGCCGCCCTTCAAATAAAGCGGGCTACAGAAATGGAAGATTGACATGTACCAACATAAGTTAACCGTTAAAAACAAGTAACACAGTTTGTCCCTTCTTCCACAGGATCTGGTGGTCAAGGCAGTCAGCTTAATTTTATAAACTGCAGTTCTCAGACATACTGTGTCAGACTAGGATATATTCATGTAAATTAGCAATCTTGTAGGAGAATAGTGAAACTTGGCCTTTTAAGACATTGCAGAGTTCATTCTAATAGATAATACTGTTCAAAAGCAAAGTTTTCGAGTCAACTTTTCAGAGGTTTGAAACATAGAAGAAAAAACAGATACTTAGTGCAAGTGGGAAACATTTTATGTGCCCCTTTAAAAACATTAAATAGTAGGCACCTATCTTGACTGAAACTTTGCTCTTTGATTGAAGGGTCTTTTGGGTGGATTTTGTTATGAATTGTGTTTGTCTTTTTCATTTACCCATTTTTGTGTGGAACCCATCTCTGAATGGGCTGCATTTCTGTCTTTGGTTGTTGAACTACAAAACGACTGACTATAAATGCTGAGGTGGTTGGGTAACCATATGTGTGAAAAAAAAAACATAAAAGAACAGCCCCATGGAAGATTTTCAACAGGTCCTGTTGACAGAAATGGCACAATATTAGTTTTGCTATTTGGGGCCCTAGTGGCTAGTGACTGGACTGTCTTTAGGAAACAGGGCGTTTCCATATGCTGACAGTGATAGTTTTTTTTTTATTTTTTTAAAAAATAAATAAATTTAGTTTGACAGGTAGAGTATGAGCTCACTAGTCTCAATGTGAAAGCATCTCTATTCACATTTCGCACTTCACAATTGATCAATTGCCTCTTTTTTCGAGTATTACTTTTGTAAATAGGGAGATTAATAGGAGGTGGAGAATCCAAATCAATCTCTCCATTTACACTGGATAAAATCCTTATCCTCTTATTTATTGTCCACACTAGCAGTCCATGATGCCTTTTCTTCTAGGTTAAAGGGGTAGGCACATGTATGGTGCTCGGAGGAGACGTTCCATTGATCTGTCTTGGCATGTAACTCGTTATATTTGGTCAATTCAGAAGAAAAAGACACATTACTCCCTACACAATCCATGCTGATTGCAGCATTTTATTTTTGAATATTTGACCTTATTTTACTAAAATTGTTATGGGACACAGGATACCTTGTCAAATTTACTTACATAGTAACTATATTTAGATTTGATCGAATAAAACTGGAATTTGTTGTCCCTGGTAATCATACAGACATATCAAGTGAACATCTAGTGCCGGGATAAATCGATGTTACATAAAGAAAAGTTCCCATTGCGAGTGCATATGTGACAGTTTTGATTTGACAACGGAGCTTATCCCTGTAAACAGAAGAGAGACTATGGCAGGCAAGGAGGAATGGCTGGTGGCCCATAGTCTCATCATCAACATTTGTGACGATTACGGTTCAGGAGAATTATGGAATTCAGCTAAGGTATACTCTTGTTTTAATTTGAGATATTATTATTTTTATTTAGTTGACATATCTTGTTAAAAAATGGAGGATGTCATTGCATCCTTTTATGTTTCTCCTTTTATAATAGTGGTGTCCTAGCCAATCTGTGGACACATCAAATAATTTCATGAGACATCTATTTCCTCCTACCAAAAACAGTATCTCATAGTTAGTAATTGTAATGGTTTGAGAGAAAGAACAGTAATCACTTCATATTGTATTTTTGTCTTTGATGAGATTTGAATTTACGACCTCTTTGACCATTTAACCAAGTCTTTGGGTGCTCATATCCTTTTCATGGTGAATTGTGTTCTATGTCAAAAAGTTATAAGAATCATTTCTTAAGTTTTTTCTTTTATTTTTTTAAAAAAAATTGTTTTAGCCAAAATTGAATGTTATCTATATGAATATAAGTTTGTTAGCTGAAACCATCCCAAAGCATGAACATTGGCTGAACCACAGACAAATACTTCAATAAAACTTCTTTCATTGAAAAGTTCTAAATACTGAACATGAGTCGTCCCTGCTACAACAACTAGCTGCAAAATACCATCTAAATAGTGTTATTGAACAAAAATATCTAGTTATCTCTATATTTATGCGAGTAAAAGACAATACATATATGACAAAATAATTGAAGTAGGCATAAATTAGTCTATATTTTTGTTTAGAGTTAGCAAAACACAAAATCACACACTCTCCACTTGCACCACACTGAAGCCATTGTAGGGACAGTGTTGTTCCCTCATCCTCACCGCTCTCCAAGTGGCCGCGGCAGTTCCCCACTTGAATCCATTGGTCTATTCTTTAGCCTTTTTGGTGTCGGATAGAAGATAATAATTTCGAAATAGAAATATGAAATTAATTTAATTATAGCTGATTTAGAATATTAGCAGCTAATTTCAAGATAACTTTGACACTCATATGGTTAGGTTAGTTGTATCATATATAAAAGATAAAGATGGTTTATCCCACAAGGTCATCTCACCACTGTACCAAACGACCCTTACAGTACTAATGCTATCACAGTACCCCAAAGTCGATTTAAAAGTTAAATTCGAGTCCTGTGATCAAAATCTAGAAAGTTAATGTTCTAGGATTAATCATAAGCGTACGAGTTCAAATCTATTCCTGAATTTCGAATCGATGCTCAAAACATAAAGTTTCAATCTCTTGAGCCTAAGACATATAAAATCCATAAAAATCTTTTCCTCATCCACTATTCCACCATAAAAAAATATTTATAAAAATAAATAAATAATTGAGTACAAATAGTAACAATTTAAGGCATAATTCCCTTTTCTGTCGCCGCCACACACGCTCTCCTCACTCAATCATTTTTCTCCAAATAATAAACAATTGGTTAGTCTTCAAGATGACCAATATGCATAATCCATCATTCACACTAACATTTGTTTCCCCCACCACTAAAAGACCCCAACCAAGCAAAAGTACAAACAGAATTGCGATTAGACAAAATGATAACACAAATCCCCTTTACATCTTACAACACCAAAACTGTTCAGCTGATAATTTGTTCTTAAAAATAAAGTAAAATTAAAGAAAGAGGTGATAGTTTTTTCTTTTTAAGAATATAACAATCCTAGGCTACCAAGCTACACAACCTGGAGCGGCGCTTGTATTCTTACCAAAGCACTTCCTCTTCCCCCAACCAACAAAAAGCCAAAAAAATAATTAAAAATTACACTAGTAGAGATACTGTTATTGGTAATATCGATATTAACTAAATATTACCAGTAATCCACTTCTGGATCTTCGGGCTCGGGCTTCAAGTTTAAATCGGGCTTCTCTTGAAACCAACAAGGCTTCAATTCTGAGGGGCTTGCCGTCTCAGAGTGCACCTTTTCCTCTGTATGGTTATGATGGGTTGCAAGCGAGTTCTGTACAGCATCTACTTGAGCACCAACTTCTATGGCTTTTTTACGAATCGAAGCAGCAGACAAATCATTAAGCCCACCATCACCAACTAACAACTCGGGAAAATTCAATCGGGCCGAAGGGCCTCTTAGATAATAGACCGCCGTATCATAAGCCCGAGCCGCAGCCACCGGCGTTGAATACGAACCCAACCAAATCCTCGAACGCTTGTTGGGTTCTCTAATTTCTGCAACCCATTTTCCCCACTTCCTCATACGAATCCCTTTATAGGGCTTTTCGTTCTTTCTCTTCCCACCACAACAAACCCCTGAATTTGCAGCAACTCCACTTTGACCCCCACCACCTATCTCCATCTTTGACTGTATAATAATTATTATGTGAAATTACAGGGACTGAATTACAAAAATTTTGTTTCCCTGTAATCTAGAGCTAAACTGGGAGAGAGAGAAAGAATACCCATGAAAAGGCAAAAGCTGGAAGTGAATGAAGAAAAAGGTTATTGTGGTAGCGGTTGTGGCTACTCTACGTTGATTTTCTTAAAAGCATTTTTTTTTTTACAATTATAATTATTATTTCTAATAAAAGACTCCTCAAAAGAAAAGGAAATATGTTGAAAGCACCGACACAATCAATAATAATAATAATAACCTGCTGGATAGTATAAATATTTCTATTGGTCCTTTTTGTTTATTCAACAAAAGCTTAGCTGCTCGTACCTCATAAGATATGGTGGTAGTTGGCCATCCGCCATGTTAAAAGCTCCCCAAAATCCTCACAAATTTCACCTATATAGCCTATAGCTAGAGATGTAGGCGTAAATACCCTCTTCTCTCTCTTGGATTTTTTCTCTGTGTTGTGGAATCAAATTTGCACACTAATGATGGGAGATGGCGTATTATATGAGCTAAGGGAAATTTAGAGGGAATTCAATAATGGAAAAGCAGTTGTCATTTGGTTCAGTGGTGACGACACATAAAATGGGATTTTCTAAACTATATAAAGATGATTACAATAATTCAATGAAATTCTTTTTTTTAATCCCATCGAAATTTATTGTCGCTAGCCTTTTAAGGCAGATCCAAGGATAAGGTGGGGATTTTCGGAAAACCCAATATTATATTTATGTTAGAAAAAATTAATTGTTTAGACTTTTTTTAAAAATAAATTATTATATATGAAAATTAACGGAAATTTTATCTTTTTAGATTTTTTATGAATTTCCAGTAGATAAATAGAAATTGGTATGTTAGTTATTAATGATTATCGTAGGAATAGGAATTTATGTTTTTAGGGAATTAAAAACTGTGGTGGGAGAGTTAGGTCGGTGGTCGGTGGGTTGGAATAGATAATGGTGTGAGTTGGAGTTACGAAAATACCCCTGTAAAAAGCAATAACGATATTGGTGGAATGACAATGTTGCCCTTATCCAGATAATTTTGGCGCCTTATTGGTGTGGTCGGAGATTCCTATGCTTCAAAGCTGAATCATGGGTGTACTACCCACTCTGTCTCCCATTTGGTTCCAGGGGAAAAGTATTGCTACTTGTTGTACTTTCTCTTCTATTTTCTATATCTACTATCTATCCATATGGTCCATAATATATACACTTGTTCTTTTTAAATTGATTTTATAAGAATTAATTATGATAAATTTATATTTTTTAAAAAGAAGATATTGGTTTCGGAGGGTGATGTGTACACAGTTCTATCAAGTTGGAGATTTGAATTTGAAATCATGAAGTGAATTTTAATATCTTCACGCCACAAATATTAAGTAAGCCTCTAATTTTATATTTAGTGAATTTTAAATTTTTATATATACACAAAAGAAGTTTTTTAAAAAATCTTATATATAAAGTGTTTCGAGCGTATATCTTCGCCCCTCCTAAATCCGTCTTTATTTGTACAGATAGATAGATTGTTTCTGAAAAATCATCATCACCATAAGAAATTCTGTGTTAAAAAAAATATAACAAGAAAATCAATTAACAAAAAGAAATTTAAATAATTAAAATGTAAATTTGACAACATAAGATTTAAACTACTAAACACACACACACACAAAAAAGCACTTTTAAATTAAGCAAATCTCTCTATAATAATTATTACTTAATCATTAATAACAAATATAACAATTCTTGGACCTTTATCACCCCAAACAATCGCTTATTGTTATCTCAAAAATTTCATGATGTTAATTGTTATGCATGTTAGTGCGCAAACATTCACGATATATCTTTGACCAGCTATATCTATAGCTCAAAAAGTTAAAATTAACAAAAACCCAGTTCAATAAAAACATTAATGCATGACAGTGTTTTTCTCCATTTATCCTTCAAAGTTATTAGTCATAGAAATATAAATTTGTTCAATATAAAAACACTAAAAACTTTATCATGTTTATTTTTCAAATTAATGAATCAAAGGAAATTAATTATTATTCTTTTAATGATCAAATTAATTAATCAAAATAAATTCATTTTTGTCCATTTATTAAAAATTTGACTTCATGAGAATATTAAATAAAAATACAATAATAAACTTAAAAGCATAAACTCACAATAGTTTTTTTAGAAGCGTAAAACCTAGAAGACATATAAATAGAAATGGAATTTCTTTATCGTCCGTTTGCATTAATTGAATCAAACGAATTGCTCACTCTATTACCTTAAACATTTTTAATTTCTCTTTTTAGTATAGTAGGGGAAAACTGATTTTTTAGTTCACGTCCATTTTCTTTAAAAAATTATGATCCTTTTACAGTGATTAAAAAATCTTAATTTTGTATGGTATTATATCATTAGATATATAGAGTTAACACCATAGTAATGGTCACCCTAATTTAGAGCCCAGGGAGGCTGTGCCTACTAATACTATCAGAGAATATTACACCATCATAATATATTTTTAAAGTAATAAATTGATACATAATAAAAATGTTCAAATAAGAATGTAATTTATAATATTTTTTGTATTTTTTTAATATTTTATTTTTTTATTAAAAATATTAAATCAATATAATCCAATTTAATTTTAAAATTAATCAAATTGACTTTCAAAAAACGTAACATGACAAATAAAAATAAATAAACAAATTTTATACTATATATTTTTCTAAATTGATCTATATTTTGGCCCTGTTCCAAAAGGCTAATGATGGACTTAATTAAATGCTGAAAAATATCATCTAATATTTTAATACCGCATCTGCTAGGATTTGATGATTTTTTTTGTTTTGAAGTGAATGTCCCATTATCTAGCTCCAACAGCCCCACCTATTTTTAGGATTGTTTTTTCCTTTCGAAAATTTAAAGCAAAACACATATTATTAAATTTAAAAAATACTGTGTAATCACGAGCAAAATTAAAACGTACCGCTCAAAGAGTACTAATTAAATCAAACAAATATCGGAGCATTTTCATAAAATGACTCTCTAAGTTTATATAATATGATCCACACAACATATGATCCACCTAACTAGGGATTAATTAGGTAAAACAAAGAATGGTCAATGCAGGCACGCTCACATGCAACATAGACTAAACAAAGAAAAGTTTGGGCCTGAAAAATATAAAGAGTAAAACTCGCCAATAAATTACCCAGAAAGAAACAATCGGTTTTAAAGGTAATAAAGTAAGTAGTGCTATCAAATAAAGCAAGCCAAAATTGACAGCTAAAGTAAGGAGGACGAACCTAGCCTTTTAGATACAGATTTAATTGAATTTAATATTTTTTTTTTGGAAATCTGTTCGATATGCGTAATTATTAATTTCAAATGCATAATTTAAAGAAATGGATGATTTTAAACACGTAAGGTTCAAAATCTAGCTCCGTGTCCGGCTGAAGTGTGAAATTTAAAAGAAAAGTATAATAGGAATTGTATTATGTGTGACAATTTGACTTTAATGTTCTGTCCTCCTGCCTACAAGTCAAAAGATGATTAGTATTGATACTAGAGGATTTGGACATGCATGAGCAATGATTGATGGGTTAGTTGTATTTGGTCGTGTGCCTTTGAAACTAGTCACCGCAATGAGTGCGAAAACATAGTTTCCAACTCAAGTAAATGAGATATTTGTTTTAGTTTTATTGAGTATGAAACTTTAAAGAAAAATAAAATAAATTAAAGATATGTATAATTTTATTGTCTTAAATATGCATTATTGAACTTAAAAGTTACTTATCGGATTAAAAATTCTTTTGTAAGCAAACTAGAAAAGGTTTTGTAAGCATTGGAGGCCATCATGTAGTATTCCAATTTCCATGCATCTAATTTACTTATGCCCTAATAATTGACAATCTAATTCAGTGCATATTCAAAAGTAAAATGCTTATCAAATTTCCTTACAAAATTGAAGGTTATTTATATTCATAACCGCCGCTCATGTCAACATTTAATATTTCAACCTACTACTAGCCAAACCACGTGGGCAGTAGGACTGACATGACAAATTACAAAAAAAAAACACAGCTATAAATATTTGAGAGGAGCATTTGGAGTAATATTTTGACTTCTGTGATGTAAAATAATAGACAGAATAAACTGCACTGAGACTTTGATTTAATAAACTTTTTTCTAATACTAAAAGATATCACATTTTGGAAAAGAATTAACTTCTGAGAACAAATCAAACTATATAGTATAAATATAGTTAGGTGCAAATGTCAAATGCTCCTTAGTCCTTAGTTGATGAGACAATATAGAAAGGGGACAGACCGCAGCAAAGGGGAAAAAGAAGTAACTTTCACATAGAAGGAAATATTGAAGAACAAACTCTTAACTGAAGAAAAATGACTTAGTTCGCAGTATCGATCTCCAAAACGAATAAAAAAAAAATCAACATTACATGTGAACAAGAACATAATAATTTAACCCATTCTCACTACACAACCAAGCAAATGGTATATTGTTGTTTGTTAATGGCGTTCGCTCAACTGGATCTTTGTTGTAGTCCCAAAGCATTTACCTTGATTTCTTACTACGCAATCCCATCCGTGATTTTGCATATCTATATATGTCGTCAAGGAAAATGATAATGCAAAAGCAGAAAAGACCAAAGAAAATAAAGGGTTAGGGTTCATGGAAACCAAAAGAATTGATGGAAGGATACTCCAGTTGCATCCCCACTCCAGACGAAGAGTGTAGAATGGTCCCTTGAAGATGACTCAATGCCTCGGTTGAGCTGGCAGTGTCCTGTAAATATGGCTTGTACATATTAATTTCAAATTTGATCTCTACGTATTCCAGTATTTGAACTTGATATACAGCAGATTAATGTTGTACCAGACCAACAGAAGACAAAACACAATTGTGGTAATAGCTACTGCTTCCAATAGTTGTACCCATTGGCACCTTCCCCACCAACTCCTTCTATTGGGGCAGGGTAAGAGTTGTATAGGGCGTTAGAAGCACTAAATTCCTTCGTAAGGGAAAGACAACTTTATCTAAATAAAGGATCGGTGAAATCTTGGGTAGGATGTTCTGCAATCAAACGATTACTTCAATGAAGATGCAACAGTTGTCCTGTGCTTGATGTTTTCTTGGAAGAATGTAACTAGGAGATGCATATGAACCTCCAAATTAAGATTGCTGAGACTACAGGGTAGAACATGTACTCAATCCTTGTTAACTGGCTAAGGATTTTGCTCAATGAAAAAGGGGAATAATGAATCAAAAGAGAAAAAAGAAAATGGTGTTAGTTTAGGGATGAAGATGTACTTACAAAAATAAAAGACATCTTATCATTATCAAAAAACAGATAAAAAGATGAAGGACGTGCAGAAGATGTGTGCGAATGAGTTGAGCAACTGCCACTTCAGAAGAACAGAGTTAACTTTACCTGAAAGTCAACAAATGCAACAGGAGCTCCATACGTACTCTGCATCTTCAACTTTAGAAAACCCCGAAACCTGAAAATGTCAAGAAAGCACATAACCATCCAGTATACCAAGTACTTTAGTCGTTAGAAGTTAGAACGAAAATGCAATCTTATCAGAACCTTGAAAATACTTGAATCAGCTCTTGCTCAGTACAACTTTGG